CATATAATAAAAGTTTAAAACAAAAAAAAAGAAGATTTTGAACTGGATTAATCTTTTTTATAGCAAGGCTCTATATAACATCAGGTTTGCTCGTGTAATCACATGGACAGAAGACGCATTTGCAAGAATATAAGGCATTCATCCTGCCAGAAACACTTGAAACCTGAGAGTTGAAACTTTCGGTTAACCCGGTTCGAGTAAGTGATGTTTTTCCCCCCAGCGCACCGGTCCAAACTCAGTGCCCTCGCACCTTATGCTTTCTCACCGAAGTAACGTGTAAAAACCGCAGCGACTCGGAAAACGCATAACCTTGCAACTTTTGAATTATTAATTTTTTCTAAATGTAAAGAATTGGACAGTTGTATCCCGTTTAAGGTTTACATAATACAACACACACACACACACACATATATATCGAATGATTCTTTTTTTTTTTCTCATTAGTAAAAAGATTAATAATAGCAAACACCTGCATTAATAATAATTTATCTAATTCGGATAAAACCGAATCATACCGAAACTTCCCTGTCCCCAAGTTCGGATCGAACTAAACCAAACTCTCTACATCCCTACAAGATCACATGCACATTGCTGCCTAATGACGAAATGATATATGCGTTTACCAAGTAATGACTTATTCATGTGAAAGTGAGTTCTTTATATTTAACAAAGATGCATCAACCAGAGTAAATTTCGAAAGATAGTAAACAGATTGAGATAACACAGATAGCGTAGTTTCTGGAGATGGGTAGATTGGGTCATTTCTTTGTGACATCCGTAGATGATTTGATTAAGAGGGGAGAATTGTTTTATTTTGACTACATGTATTAATGGAAAATATGGTTTCGGAAGTAAAAATGGTTCTAACGACATGATGATTGATTAAACATAATGAAAAATGGTACAAAAAAAAATCATATATAGAGATAAAAATAAATAACATATTGTATAATATACAGAGTTAAGTATGTTAAAAGGTATTCGTATCAACACCTCATCTATCGTGATGCAATGAATGATAACAATGAATAGGAATAGGAATAGGAATAGGAATAGGAATGAATAGGAATGAATGACGTTACTTAATAGAAATGTCGACTTCTCTCGTTATTTTTTTTTGCGGTCGTTGTCCGCAGTCCTCCTTTGTTATCCTTCTTTGCCGAGAAGATCGTAGTTGAGATGGTTGTCGGAAATCCACATGACACCATCAGTTGAATTCTCGGCTCTCTCTAACTCTTGGGTCATTTCATACGCATATTTAATAATTTTTGAGCGTGAAAACTTTATTAATAATTACGAATTGTTTCTAGTCTTTTGGTATTTAAATATAACTGATGGCCTCGCAACTTTTTAGATTACAGATACCTAAAGATCGGGTAACAAACATCTAATTTCAGATAACGGGAATTTGAAAAAATAAAAAAGCCTGGTCGTTTTTTTTATTTTGTCTTGCCACCAAGGTGTCCATTTCTGTTCACATCGACACCATCGAAATATTTTTGAAAGAACTCCTCCCAATCATCTCCTAACATGGAAATCCTATCCCTCACACCGTTTTTCACTTGTGCCCAAACGCGCGATGTTCGGAAGACTCTCCGGGTATCATCGTAGAACGTAAGGACGTATGAGGTGCAGAATATGAAACAAACGGTCGTTATACAGAATAAATATATCACTGTGAGAGAGGTAACTTGCACCAAGGTCGAAGAGAGTAGACGGCGCGGTATGTTTAGAGGAAAATGCAGGACCGAGGCTAAACCTTTTGGTGAAGTCTTCTCCCTCTTGAGATTATTTCGAACACTGGTAGTTGTCGCGGCAGTTGAGATTGACGAAGAAGGTTGCGCTGGTGATACCGAATAAAATTGGTGGTTGTTATGAGAAGCTTGCCCAAAGGCTGAAGAACGAAACGAAGTTCCCGGGCGGCAGTCTGTGTAGTCCATGTCATCGTAAGAGCCAAACGACGACGGCGGGGGCGAATTCGTTCGGGGTGACATTACTTTGAAATGTTTTTTTTTCTAATAGTTTTTTGAAGGGTAAACGTAAATTTGATATTTATTTCTTTTCCCGACAGTTTTTTATCAAGATGGTCAGATAAAAAAAAAAAAAATGGCAGAAAGTTGATAATAATTTTTATTTCGATTGAATATTTTAGATTTGAACTTTTCAAAAGATAAAAGTAAATTGGGTCAAGAGGCTTTCGGAAAAAAATGTGGACACAAGCTTTATAAACCAAGGGTCTACCGACTACAATATGTACATAGTAACTGGCGATTGATTGAGAAAAAAAAAAAAATTTTTTTATATCGTTTTCTTTCTTTCAGGCGTTTGTACTGCAGAGGATTTCCAAATATTATCAAAATCACAAGGATTCGGAGTTCACTGATGCCATCTTTTTGCTCATTTATGTTAATTGGCTGATCATAACTGTGAAGAGTGGCTTGGTACTATACCAATTACACTAAACATCTGATTACAATCTACAAAATTATATGTTTTGTGCCTATTACTTCATTGTTGTCTGACAATTAGACCTTTTCTTATCACTTGTTCAAAACTTGCGCGTGGTCTTTATGTTAATAGCAACGTGAAGGTCTCCTTAGTATAGATAGACGATTCAACAATCCGGCACCGTTTTTGCCCAATGGGCTTAAGCTCTCCCTCTCACATCCGCCCATCCGCCTATCCGTCGATGCACTGTGACCATTTATTCCAAGTCAAGAGTACTTTCCGGCATGTCGATTTTACATGTTTTGTTCTTATTTCGGGAATTTCACACTGGCTTCCACATAAATACGATTACATGACAGAATTACCTCGCATATGAGACAACTCAACAACCTTCTAGGTGGCTGGTTGGCATTTTGATTATGTGCCTTCCCACTTACATATTTAACAAACAATTTATGCATCTCTGACCTCCTGTTCAAAAAAAGTAAATTTGCGTTTCTTGTGTTTGCGTCCCCGGTTCCACAAATATTAACTCTGGGTAATTTCGTGTTTAATCGGTTATTCACTATTGTGTTTTTTTTTAAAAATAGTAATGCTTTTCTTTTCTTTCTCTCAAATAAATTTCCGGTTTCATTCATTCATTGACATGTTTCAACTGCGATGATTCAAATATGCCATAAATGATGCGTATGTTTTGCATTTTTAAAAAAGAATCCACTGCATTCATTCTAATCGTCAACCCGATTTTTACAAAATCTTTAGCATTCGAAAAAAATTCTCCCATCTCTATAAAAAAAAAAAGAATTTCGATCTTAAGAATGCGCCCCAGGGAAAATAATTATTTGTTGATCAATTCATCACACAATGCGTCATATTGTATCGTTAAAAAAACAAATCCTGCGCAAATACCCCACATATATGTATGTGTATTGTATTTGTTTTACTACTATTATATATGGTCATCTGTGTCATTTAATTTATCATCAACCAGGAAATTGTAATAGCCGATATGACTTATATCAATAAGTTTTCTTTACAATACTAAAGATCAAACTGTTTTGATGTTAATAAACAATTCGATTATTTCACATCAAAATTCATGAATTAATAAAAAAAAAAAATAATAATAATAATGATCCGATTAAAATTTCTTTTTTTATACTTATGATTGTTGATTGTTAAGATTATCATGAAAATACTGTAGTCTATTTACATTATAAATTTATTAATCTTCTTATACTATGTTTAATTGTTTTCAATATACTTTTTTCAATAATTGATTTTTACTTTTTATTTTAAATCTATTTTTTACATATTTTTTTTTTATGTTAAGTAAGATATTTCTTACAATCTTTATTAATATAATAAAAAGTATTTTTTTTGTTATATAATTAATATTAAAATGTTAAAATACTTTGTTATATATGTTAACTTATTATTGTTTAAACATATTTTTGATAAAAAATCTTTAAACAAAAAAAAATGTTATTTAATCTTGAAGAACTAATACCTTCTTAATAATTTATTTTATTTTGAAAAAATATAAGAAAAAAAATTTAAAAATAATATTGATAAATTTGTTTAACTATATTGTTTTGTTATTATTTAAAATTATTTTTAAAAAAACATAAAAAAATTTTTAAAAATAATGTTAATAAATTTATTTAACTATATTATTTTGTTATTATTTATTGAATTATTATTTATATTTTATTAATAATTATTTGAATTTTTATATATTTTGTTTTTTTGTTTTTTGTTTTTTTAATTACTAAAAGATATTAAATATATGATTTTATTAAACTTTCATTTATTGTTATTATGTTAATAATCTTTATATAAGTAAATTAATTGTAGCCTAATATAACAATATAAAATAATATATATAGTCTTTGAAAATCTATATGGAAAAAGAAAAAAAATAAATAATGACTAGCTACTAATTATATTATAAATCAGTATATTGTTCATTAAGAAGTAAGATATGAATAGTTTAGTATAATTAGAAAAATTAGGTTTTGAATATATTGAATCTGGAAATTAGTTTATTATTATAATATAATCTATAAATCTTTTTCTTATTAAAAGTCTTGTTTTCAATATGACATAATTATTTTATACTAATTTTTTAAAGGAAATAAATTAACTGTAATTTTTGATGTGAATAGGAATTGGAAAAGTAAATAAAAAGATCAATTCCATAAATTCTTTTTGAATATATAGGAATAATAGTAATATCAAATATTCAAAATAAAAACACTTGTCTAATATATACTTCTAATTAAATATTTTAAACAAAACAAGAGCTTAATCAAATAAAGTTTTATACATATTGTTTTTTGTGTTAGAGAATTTCTATCTTCAATAACCTACTATATCTTTTTACATATTCTTAAACTTCAATATAAAGGCTAATAACTATTGAAAATACTTTTGATAGCTTTTATATAAAATGATCACAATTTCCAATTAAAGTAATTCTATTATAACTTTTTTTAAGTTAAACTCTTTTAAACAAGGGAAAAAGTTTTTATTAGAAGGTTTACACCTTTTAACAAAAATAATTTCAACTTAAGTAAGATATATGCTTGGTTAAAATAGAAGTCTTGGTATTTTAAAAAGTTGATGAGATGATTGCAAAGTAAAAAAAGAAAGATCTAAAAAAAAAACCTTCAAAGAAAAGAAAAAACAATTCATCAGTAAAAAAGAAAGTTAGAAAAAGGTGAAAAGGAAAAAAAAATTGACATTTTGCTTATAATTACCAAATATATATAGAGCCTTGCTATAAAAAAGATTAATCCAGTTCAAAATCTTCTTTTTTTTTGTTTTAAACTTTTATTATATG